TATTATTATTATTATTATTATCATTATTATTATTATTATTATTATTATTATTAATTATGAGACTGCCCTGCAATAATTTGTGCCTAAAACTGAAATTACACTGTACTTCATATTTTTACACAGAAATGAAATAACCTTCTGTACTTACCCTAGAAAGCCAGTGATAAGGCAAGAAACTTCTGGATGATCTCTAAGATACTTCTCATTTTCAATTCTTGTCCTTATCTGAAATAAGAAATTAAAATGATCAGCAATTTCTATTTTTGTGATTATGTAATATGATTTACATTGCCATTTGCATATATATACTGACCTATCCCTACCCCTATCCCTTTACCTATACAGCTATACCTATATGTCTATATACCCATACAGCTATACCTACTGTATACGGCTGTACCTTTGAAGCTATGGGGGTATTAAGAGATAAGTCGAGGTAATGCCAGATAAAAGGAAGCTTCAAGGTGAGATTGAGCGATGCCTTAAAAAAGTCAGTGAAGGAGTCGAAACATTTGAAGATATCTGGAAGAAGGTACATAATACATCGAATTCAAACCAGAAGGAAAAGTATGAAGCAGACCTTAAATACTGCAATTTCTGTATGGCTATACCTACAGGTGTATACGGCTATACCTATACAGCTATACCTATATGGCTATATCTATACGGCTATACCTATATGGTCGTACCTATACAGCTATACCTATACGGCTATACCTATACGGCTATACCTATATGGCTACACCTATACGGCTATACCTATACGGCTATACCTATATGGCTATACCTATACGGCTATACCTATAAGGCTATACCTATTTATAATATAACTAGATTATTACGCCCGCTCTGATTGGCCAAAAACCAATGAACTATTTCCCCATGGGCTGCACGCTGATCTCAACGGACGCTCGCCTTTTTTATCTAAATTTTCAAACCCGATGGCGTCAATAGCGCACGCACGTGCGAGATGTGTGATATAACGCGCGCTCTGATTGGCTGAAATGCCTATGAACTATTTGCCCATGGGTCGCACGGTAGATTTTTGGTCATATTATAAATCAGTTAGACAACAAAAAGCACTCGCCCATGGCGATATGGACGCACTTGAGAAAATGTAAAGAATTCTTAACAAGCTAGAGTGTCACTCGGCTTCGCATCGTGCCACTCTTTCGCTTGTTAATTGTTCTTTATATTTTCTCTTGTGCGTCTATATCGCCATGGGCGCGCGCTTTTATGTCATCTAACTGATAAATGGCTATACCTATATGGCTATACCTATACAGCTAAACCTATACGGCTATACCTATACGGCTATACCTATACGGCAATACCTATACGGCTATACCTATACGGCTATACCTATACGGCTATACCTATACAGCTAAACCTATACGGCTCTACCTATACGGCTCTACCTATACGGCTCTACCTATACGGCTCTACCTATACGGCTCTACCTATACGGCTCTACCTATACGGC